CTTTAATTAAAAAAAAAGAAAAGACAAGGTAAGAACAGCAAAAATATACAAGTAGACAGTCATCATTTATCAATACAGCATATACATTTTTGACTGTTTGTATTGCACTCAGCAAAGTAGAAAGCTGAGGTATTAAAATGATAATAAAAGGGTACCCCACACTTTATGGGTCTTATGGTCTTAAGAATAGTGACAGGCATTTAATAAAAAAAATTGCAAGTCACTATGGATGCTAAAATGAATGGATCTATACACAAGGTATGGTGGGACCTGTAGAAACAACAGAGCTGAGGCTTAAAGGGTGAAGAGGAAGTTGTCAGGGAACCAAGTATTGGACAAGCTAGAAGAATGGGGTAAGGAGAAGCTGGACAGTTAGGGGAGAGCCAAAATGTCATGGGTTTTTCACACAATACAGAGGAATTTTTTTATCCGAGAAGATGGCAGGGAGCCATTTTGATCAAATGGATAAATTTTGAGTGTTTCCTACTCTTCTGGCTACTGGGGCATGGAGTGCTGGTGGGCAGAGAAAAGGAGTAAACGAGAAGTGAAGCACCCAGTAGGAAATGTACTCAAATAGTCTGAAGGACTGAGACTCTGGGCCTGGACAAGGGCAGTGGCTGTGAAGGTGAATTGCTGAAGGAAAAACAAGAGATATTTAAGAGGCAGATAAAAAAAAATATGTTGCAATCATTGACAACCAGTCTCAGTGACATATTCTTGTGAATTCAGTGCCTGCTGGGTGACCTTTTTCACAGAAAGAGCAGCAATTCTGCCTGCTGTTCTATGACTGCTTCTATTTGAGAAATTGAACATTAGAGTTTTTAAGGAAGACTATAAGGAGTTGTGTGTCACCAACCGAGGGGATTAGCCCCGAGATGCTGTGGCATTTGTCATCAGCTCTCAGATTTTAACACGTAGGAGGTCGTTGACTCTTGGTCCTGATGCTTATAGTCAAGGCGAACTGTTCTCCTAGCTGCCTGTCAGAAGCAATGAGGCACCGTGATTAAGAAATTGGGCTCGGGGTCAGCCAAGTCTGAGTTGGAATGTACCATTTACTTCACCTCTCATTTCTGAACTAAGTTTTATTGTCCATAAAATACAGATTAGAATACCTACTCCCCAGGGATTGCTATTTGAATGAATAAGATACTAGCTTAAATTCACAAGAAGTGGTGTAACCAAGATTGCACTTTTGGTCTAGCCCACTCCAGAATTGATATTCTCCCTTCTTTCTCTTCCATATTTAATATATGCGTCATGTTTTTAATAAATGCTCAAGCTCAGTGTCTGTTTTCCCTTGACCTAAGAATTATTCAACAGGGAGCTCTCACAATACCACAAAGAAAGACTTTGTGTGGTTTGTCCGCATTACTGATTTCCTAGCTTTATACCACTATCATCAGGTAATTTTTTATATTGTTTCTACATCATAGAACTCACTGCATTTTCTGGTGGCCTAATCTAAGATTAACTTTTTGAATGTTCTATGTGAGTTTGAAAAAAGTAAAGTGTATTTTTTATTATCAGTGTACCAAGTTTGCCATGCAGTCCATTGCCTTTACTAGCTTTGTTGTTTGGATCTTTTATATTCTTATTTATATTGTGTCCCCTGGCCCTGTCTTAGGCTGCAAGGAGCTTGCTAAATGACTTACTATTAGTATGTTTCTGCAGTTTCTGTATAGTAGGCCCCTGTTGTGTCCTTTGGTGTGGATGCATAAATATTGGGTATTCTTCCTGAACTCTGACCGCTGGCATAACATCAGACCTGCCTTGAGTTGTTTTGGGCTTTTTAGTCTGCATTTGACCATGTCATATATGAAGGTCAAAACCCATCCTAACTGTTGTTAGTTTGCATTTGCCTTGAATGCTTTGCCCACCCCTAGATCTTCCCCCTAAAAGACACCCTTCATTAGGCATTTCTCTTGGATTCAACAGCACTGGGTTTTGTAGAGCCCACAATTTCTGAACTGTACATTACACTTTGCCAAACAAGTAACAAATTCCATAAGATTTTTCTTTATAATTGTCTCCCTCAGCCAGAGTAAAGTCTCCACTAAGCCCTAACACTTATTAGCAGCAGTTTGCATCGGTGTGGATAAAGTCCCTTCCTGAACCCTTCTGGCTTAGCAGGAATCTCATTTTTAGTCTTGCCCTCTTCATTCTCATACATAGTGAGACAGTTCCACCCCTGCCCACCTGAGAGGCTCCACAGTCACCTGGTGGATGGGAAGAGCAGCAATATGAAAGCTTAAAATCACATTCTTTGCTACTGGCTAAAAACACATAAAAGTTTCCAGTATGTGCCCTCCCTGGTGGTGCAACAGGTTAAAGCACAGCCCTAAGAGACTAAAGCCTCTTAAACATGAGTTCAATCCTGCCCCAGAGGTGACCCACATGGCGCGGCAGACCTCTCCTGACCCACCCACTGCTCTCCTCAGCAGCGTACTTGGGCTATCTGCCTGTTCTGCTCCCCGCTCTATCTCTGGTGAATCCTCTCACCATCCCTGCACCTCTGGCCTGTATGACAGTTCTGTATGCATAAATAAATAAATCTTCAAAAAAAGTCTCCAGCAGATGAGCTAATATTCTTTTAGCTCAGATATTCTTAATTTAATTTTATTGTTTGATTGAGATAACATTGACTGACAAAATTATTACAAAATATTCTTTAAGATATAAGTAAGTAGAAGAAAAGTTCGAGCATTATGAAACCCACAGCTTGGAAGAACCCTAGAAATTATCTACTTGAACTCTCTCTCTAAAACATTAATCACTTCTAAAAGATCCTATGTTTTCTAATCTCTTTATATAAAGTTTCTTATATGGTAAACTGACCCCAACATCCATTCTAGAGATATGAATTTAAGGACCAGTTACATGCTAGTTTTTTTTTAAGACTTATTTATGCATACAGAATTGGGGTACAGGCCAGAGGCTCAGGGGTGGTGACAGGCTTCACCAGAGACAGAGTGGGAAGCAGAACAGGCCGACTGACAAAGTACACTGCTCAGGGGAGCAGCGAGCGGGTCAGGAGAGGTCTTCTGTGCCATGTGGATCACCTCTGGGGTGGGGATCGAACTCATACTGAGGAGGCTTTAGCTTCTTAGTGCTGTGCTTTAACTTCCTGCACCACCAGCAGGTTTAACATATAGGTTAAAACTACCCTATATGTAGTTTTAAGGTGTTTGAAATGTCTCTAAGTACTGATCCTGTTTTTTAATCAGTGGAATGGGGATGATGTGAAAAAGTCAGAGGGTTGTTAAGAGGACTAAGAACATTAGAGTTTCTAGGAACTGGGAGTGCTGGTGGGGGAGAGAAAAGGAGTAAGGTAGAAGTGAAGACCCCAATAGGAAATGTATTCAAGGAGTGGAGAAACAGGCAGGTTATTAGCGGGATCCTTGAATATCAAGCGATCACAATGACAGGAGAGTTCACTCTCTTGCCAAAGAAGACTCTACTGTGTTCCTGTGACTTGGAGCCCTGCGTGCACCACCACAGGATAATACATCATCACTTCTTCCTATTTTTCTAGAAAAGCAAAAAATTCCCAATTATTCAATGGGCAATGGATGCAGATTTCTTTGAAGCACTACATAGGCCATTTAGGAAACATATCCGTAGGCTGATTACACCTGTGGGCTGCCACTTTGCATTCTCCAGTCTGAAGCAATTAGCATAATGCCTGGCACTGGATAGGCACTTGATAAATTATGAATTCATCAGATTGGAAACCTTAGACATCAGATTCTTGGAAAAAAGACTCGTTTGTTAGGATAGGGAAGTGGAAACTCAGAGTAACCAGGCCATCACCTGTGGGCCCAGGAAATCTGCATAAATGGAGGGGGAGGGTAACTGAGAAGAGAGGAGAGGCTGGGGAAGGAATTCTGCCTTCTGCCCAGTCAGTCAGTCCTAACTCATGCATGGTAACATTCTCTGGTCTCTGTGCACATCTCTGACCTAGGAGGAGTGAGGAGCTGGCTGGAGTCAGAAGGATTCCTTAGAGTGAGCTTATTGGGACGAGAACAAAAAAGCACTGAGCTGAAGCCAAAGAGGCAACTTTCTCCTGGGCCTGGTTCCCTTTGGCTTTTCCCCATCAGCAACTCTGAGCCTAGCCAAATCCTTCCTGCTGGGGTGGGTTGCAGCTGTCCCACACATGTTATGAATAAACCCAGTAGAGTTGTTCCTATTTTTAGCATTTTAATGTGGATGCAAAGGTCACAATGATTCCCCGTTTGCTGGCTCAATTTCTCTCTCTTCTTCTCTTAGCTCTTATTTTCCTTCAAGATGCATGTTGTTTTCAGCTCAGATGAGCTTATAAGATAATTGGGGGAAGAGTGTCCCCAAATATTTGCTCCTCCTGGCTGGTTGCCTTACACTGGTTGATATATATCCTGTGTCATAAGAACTCATGCACAGACTTTAGAAAGTGCACAGCAGACATGGGCTAAAGGCACACCTTTTTTGCCCTCTAAGTATAAAGAAAGGCTCAGAGCAGAAAACAGTGCGTAGGACCCTTTTCAAACCTTCTAAGTGCACAGTTCAGTGCACAGAGGGGCGGAGAGGTGGGTATGCTTTCTGCTGCTACATTAACAATCTGTATCATATATTTATTCTAAGATTGTCCCATTGAATCTTCAATCACAATGAGGGATCAATAAATTCAATTATTCCCATTTTACAGGTGACAAAATGGAAGTTCAGTGATTTGAGAAACTTGCCCATAAGTCACATACCTTGACAATGACAGACCCAAGAACCTAACTAATTCATCAGTCATTACCAGGCCTGCACTCAGGATACAGATACTTCATGAGGAGAAAAGAAGGATGGAAGAAGTGAGCGGGAAGCCTGGCCTGCACAGACACACTGCTCAGTCTGACTCTTCTTCAGGTTATTCTGTGGGAATGTGAGTGTTCTCAAAACAGGGGAACAGCCCCCTTTGATCTCCTTAGAGGCCACAGACTTGCCGGGGTACTAAAGAGAGCTCTGGTTCTCTTTACCTGTTCTCAGGGTCAGCCAAGGCCATACTCCGAGTGACGTAGCACATCTTCAGAGGGATGCTTTTCCGGTCTCTGTGGAAGGAGAAGGGTTGCGAGGATGGAAGGTCTGAGCAGCCGCCCCCTAACCGAGGGGACTCAGGCGGTGGTGTTTCCCACCCAATCTCGGATACCGGGGAGCCTTTCTTCACATATGGTGTGGCTTCTCGCATGTACTTCACTGCATGGAAAAGAGAACAATAAACACTTTAAGTACAACTGGGGTGAAGTTCTGGAAAGTCTGTCTGTGTTTATAAAAAACTCGAGTTAGACAAACTCTTTGTCCAGGACCACTTAAAGTGGTTCTGAGTTTCTCTTCCTCTGAAAATATTCTGTTATTTAAATTATAAACCAAAGTGGCTTTTAGAACTAGACACTGTAATGTCCTGAACTTGAGAATTATTTTCTGCATTTTTCAACTGTGACAACTTTTTTTTTTCTGATTGCATGCTGCTTTCTGGGAAAGATACTGAAAGGCAAATGGATAAACATAAATGAGAAAGTATAACTTAGCCTGTAAAACACAATTATTCAATATGGATGTACAGAATCAAGAAGTCACATTATAGCAGAACTTTTTTATTGAGAAGAAAGGTCTTTATTTCAAATTAACAATAAGAAAACATATGCAAAGAAATACATAAGGACATTTATTCTGTAATGGCAAATCGATAATAACTGAAACATTACTTATAAGAACTAAAACTAGGAGCAAATAAAGTCTACTAAAAAGAGGGTAAGTTAAATAAATTGTAAGAAACCTATAGACTCATTTTAAGAAAGTCACAAAAACTTTAAAATGAGACAAATATAGATACGTATGTAGAAATACCTATAAAATCTATTAATTTAAAAAGAGAAGTATATACTGAACTATTTATACATAAAATCATAAATATATATACTTATATAGCAACAACTAATTTTGCCTAGAAGCACAAAATGCACAAACAACAGTTAGTTCTGGAGAGTGTAAATAAGAGTTAAGATGGTGAAGAAACAGACCTTTACCCGTCATTTATTAACCTTTCATACTATGAATTTACATATGAGTAACTGCATGCATAGATTACTTTTCTAAAATTAAAATAAAAGTAGTTTAAGTGCTAAGTAGATCAGACAGAAATTCTCTCAGACATATTTACCTTGACTTTATGAAGTTATTTGCCTACTCTGAATTTGATCAGTTGGTTCTTAGACAACTTTGGAGTTGGCAGGGCAACTGGAGTCTTGGAACATGCCACCCTTTAAACTGGCTCTGTGTTGTTTGTGTGTGTGTGTGTGGGGGGGGGTGGAGTGAGGTGGGGTTTGACTAAATTTTACAGATACTTGTACTATAAATGGCAGCTGACTGGAATTCCGGTTAGTGGGCATTTCTTTCACATCTCTGATGATCATTTCCACAAACTAGTACTTCACTGTGCAAGGCATGAAGCCAGTAAGAAATAAATAAAAACTAATTTAAAAAAAGAAATGAAGCCAGGTTTATGGTAACTGCAAAAAATAATAACATGTAATTTCCATTCGCAAGAGCTGTAATAGGATGGACAGCAGATTCCTTTACCAGCTCACCTTCTGTGTGTTGGCTGAGAACGACTCATGGCGTCTTCCTGCTCTAGAAAATAGCTCTGGGCTCACCAGAGGACACCAAGCTGGGAGACAATAGAGTTGCTGCCCCATTCCCTAGAGAGAAGCTCTGCTTCTGTGGAACCCCACCTGAGACAGTGACCGAGTACAGGTACTTAGACTATGGCACAAAGCAGAATGAACTGTTTTCTTGTAAAAAAAGAAATGTACTTCGGAAGAATGTATGAGAAAAAAAATGTACTTTGGAAGAACGTATGAGAAAAATAGATCTAGGAACATGAGAAAAGGTTCACAACACTTTAATTAGAAAACCAAACATAACCCAGATGCATGCTATATTAAGGGGTCTGATCATAGATGTAAAAAAATACCAGCCATATTAACTCAAAACAGAGAAGATGGGATTTAACACCTATTTGCAAGAAGGTATCAAGGGTTTTAGCTGAATGTAAGTGCAATTAGGAGAACACAGCTTCATATTTGGCACAAACTGCTAACACAGTTTTTATAACTAGACAGGGAGAAAAATGATTCACAGAAAATGTATTTAAGGAATATTGTTTATTTCTGGGCAATATATTTAAAAAAAACACAGACATATCTAAAAACAAATGCAGAAAATTTAGGGAGACAGATTTAATCTGTTCAAAATAGGAATAAACAGGATTTTTAACAAGACACTTAATTTTTATCTTTAAAGTGTTTAGCAGAAGCTTGAACAGTGTTTTGTATAGAGTAGAATTATGCTTATGGGAATTTAGGAAATTCAAGTATAAGCTGAGATAAATTGAAAAATCCTCTTGATGCAATATTAGTCTAGAGGCTACAGTAGCGGATGAGTATTAAGAAAGTGAAGACTCGGGTTTTAAGGAGAAGGTAGCATTTCAATGTAGCTTAAAAAAGGGTAGCTATTATATTAAAAACTAGAGCTAATAAATATAATCCTATTTTTATAATGTGCTCTGGTTTACAATTTTTTTTTTAAAGATTATTTATTTATGCATACAGAACTGGGGTACAGGCTAGAGGAGCAGGGGCGGCAAGAGGCTTCACCAGAGACAGAGTGGGGAGCAGAACAGGCTGACTGATGAAGTACACTGCTGAGGGGAGCAGCGGGCGGGTCAGGAGAGGTCTGCCACGCCATGTGGTCACCTCCGGGGCAGGCAGGAATCGAACTCATGCGGAAGTGGCTTTAGCTTCTTAGTGCTGTGCTTTAACCCGCTGCGCCACCGGGGAGGGCCCTACAATTTTTTTTTATTGTGGTTTCATTGGAATGGAAATTTGGACTTCTATTTGGAAAGAAGATAAAGAAGGAGTATTTATGGCAAGCCTAAAGATATGGCAAGTAAAAGTAAATTAAATAGTTTACCTATCTTTTCACACTGAAGTTCCAAAACAACCACACGTTGGAGCGTGAGCGTGTGTGTGTGTGTGTGTATATATGTAAACTAAGGTTCAGAGAAGAAATGGGTAATGGATCTTTCATTTGCTGAGTATTCAAAAGCACTGAAGGCAGAAATAACTATCTCTTTAAGACTCTGCTAGAACCATTCTAACTCCAGTGAGACTAAGAACTTTACATATCTTGTCCCTTGTATAACATTTTACACATTAGCATATGTTGATATATGCCCAGACATTAAACTTATGTGGAGTCACAAGGCTAACACGTGGTCGAAGTACAAATAAGTGGTGGAATTGCAGTTTGATTTCCCCAAAATTATAGATCACATTGTTTCCTGAAATTTGTCTGCTCTACCTTGGTGAAGGATGCAAACTGGGAAGCTAGGAGGTTTGGACTTCATAGAGGTGATAGCCACACAGTCTAAGAGCAAGAGAATGGCAGGTCCAGGGATCAGCTTTCAAGAAGACTGGACAGTGAAAATGTGCATACCAGTTGGAAACAATATTAGTGACAATTTCACTAAGGATCCTAGAGTCTTAAAGAGTTATTGTCTAAGATAAAACTCGCTATCCATATGAAGTCGGAGGAATCCCAGAAATCTGGTTTGATTCACTCATAGGCAGAAATACTGGGATATACTGCAAGTCTTAGCTTGAAAGCAAGTATTTATCAAGCAACCACTTTCATGTGGTACAGGACATGGGGAATTTACAAAGAACAGCAATGCCTTGAGAGAAGTATACTCTATCAGAAATGATATTCAGTACAGAGAAATCCTTTTAACTTACCAAATGAAAATAAGACAAAAAATGGTATGATAGTTGTGATAATTCAAAGATTCACTCAGCTAAAATTGACCAACTTACATGTGTGTAGAAGGGTACTGTCCATAAAGGATGATGAGAAATGTTCCTGCTTTAAAGAAGTTGAAAATTAGAAGACAGTAGGGAAGTGAGTACATGACAAGTCCTTTTAAATCTAAAACCTGATTTAAGTAGGTCCCAAATCTCTAGGAACCTAGAAGAAGCAAATGCAAACCTTTTCTGGGGGAAGCAATTTCATCCTAGGCATCAAGGGGTCCCTATGAGTCATTTTCAAGTACAATGAGCAACAAGAAATTAAAAAGGTGTGTATACATTGTATCCAGAGTACTAAACAAGTACTAGCAGCAACAGTACCTCCCCCCAGACAACAAAATGACTACGTAAGAATAAACACAAACTTGAGAGAGAATTCTAGAGATTATTTTTAAAAGTGACATAACAGGGCCCTCCCTGGTGGCGCAGCGGGTTAAAGCACAGCACTGAGAATCTAAAGCCGCTTCCTCATGAGTTCGATTCCCGCCTGCCCCGGAGGTGACCACATGGTGTGGCAGACCTCTCCTGACCCGCCCGCTGCTCCCCTCAGCAGTGTACCTCGTCGATCTGCCTGTTCTGTTCCCCACTCTGTCTCTGGTGAAGCCTCTCACTGCCCCTGAGCCTCTGTCCTGTACCCCAGTTCTGTATGTACAAATAAATAAATCTTAAAAAAAAAAAAAAAAAGTGACATAACAGATTGGTAAAATAATAGAACAAAACATTTAGTAATAATACTCATTTTACTACTACTATTACTACTAAAAAGCAGATTGACATGTGAGAAAAAGAATTAGCATATATACTACCTTGTTTTTTATAACATTATTTACAGTAATCAACAGTTGGAGACAACCTGAGTTTCAATATCAATAGATAAATGGATAAAGAAGGTATAGTTACACAGAGAAATATTATTCAGCTATCAAGTAAAATGAAATCCTTTCATTTGCAACAGCATGGAAGGAACCAGAGCATATCATCCTTAGTATGCCAGACAGAAAAAAACACTGTATGACTTCACTCATAGGTGATATATAGAGAAAATAAACAGATGAACTAAGTAAAACCAAAATAAACTTTTGGGTCATAAGAACAATTAGAGGTTACCAAAAAGGAAGGGGGGAGGGAATAAATAAATCTGGACAAAGCCAATGATTGTAGGGTGAAGGATAGATTTAAACTTTTTATTGCTAAATTTAATGATGTATCTACTTGTGTTATACTCAATGATACACAACTGACCATATAATGCTATGATGAAATGCTGCTTCTATTTAAAAAAAAAAAATGAACTAGGGTGTAAACTGTAGATCAGAGGAAATGATAAACACT